TCAATGCCTGGAGCCCAGCCCCTCAGACAGGAAGCCCTGCCCCTGACCACCTGGAGCCCGGCCCCTCAAACATGGAGCCCCGCCCATCACTGCCCGGAGCCCTGCCCCTCAATTCCTGGGGCCCTGCCCCTCAAACATGGAGCCCTGCCCCTCCTACATGCAGCCCTGCCCTTACACCAGGAACCCTGCTGCGCACACATGGAGGCCTGCCCATTACTGCCTGGAGCCCAGACCCTAACTCATGGAGCCCTGCCCGTCACTGCCTGGAGCCCTGCCACTTATACATGGAGCTCCGCCCTCACTGCCTCAAGCCCTGTCCATCACACATGGAGTCCTGACCCTCACACATGGAGCCACGCCCCCCAAACATGGAGCCCTGCCCCTCACAAATGGAGCCCAGCCCCTCATACATGGAGCCCTGCCCCTTACTACCAAGAGCCCCACCCCTAACCCATAGAGCCCCGCCCATCACTGCCTAGAGCCCCGCCCCTCACTGACTGGATCCCCACCCCTGACAGCCTGGAACCCCGCCCCTCACGCATGGAACCACTTCCCTCTCTCATGGGGCCCTGCCCCTCACAATTGGAGCCCCGCCCCTCAACCATGGAGCCCTGCCCCTCAATGCCTGGAGCCCTGCCTATCCCACATAGAGCCCCGCCCATCATTGGCTGGAGCTCTGCCCCACAAACATCGAGCCCCTTCCCTCACCCATGGAGCCCAGCCCCTTACTGCCGGGAGCCCAACCCCTAACCCATGGAGCCCCGCCCCTCAAGCATGGAGTCCTGCCCCTCAATGCCTGGAGCCCTGCCCATCCCCTCAATGCCTGGAGCCCCTTCCCTCACTCATGGGGCCCTGCCCCTCACAATTGGAGCCCCTTCCCTCACCCATGGAGCCCTGCCCCTTACTGCTGGGAGCCCCACCCCTAACCCATGGAGCCCCGCCCATCACTGCCTAGAGCCCCGCCCCTCACTGACTGGATCCCCACCCCTGACAGCCTGGAACCCCGCCCCTCAGGCATGGAACCCATTCCCTCCCTCATGGGGCCGTGCCCCTCATAATTGGAGCACCACCCCTCAACCATGGAGCCCTGCCCCTCAATGCCTGGAGCCCTGCCCATCCCACATGGAGCCCCGCCCATCACTGGCTGGAGGCCAGCCCCAAACACATGGAGCCCCTTCCCTCACCCATGGAGCCCCGCCCATCACTGCCTAGAGCCCTGCCCCTCACTGACTGGATCCCCACCCCTGACAGCCAGGAACCCCGCCCCTCATGCATGGAACCCCTTCCCTCACTCATGGGGCCCTGTCCCTCACAATTGGAGCCCCGCCACTCAACCATGGAGCCCTGCCCATCCCACATGGAGCCCCGCCCATCACTGGCTGGAGCCGTGCTCCGCACACATGGAGCCACTTCCCTCACGCATTGGGCCCTGCCCCTTAGTGCCGGGAGCCCCACCCCTAACCCATGGAGCCCCGCCCATCACTGCCTACAGCCCCTCCCCTCACTGACTGGATCCACACCCCTGACAGCCTGGAACCCCTCCCCTCAGACATGGAGCCCCGCCCCTCAACCATGGAGCCCTGCCTCTCAATGCCTGGAGCCCTGCCCATCCCACATGGAGCCCCGCCCATCACTGGCTGGATGCCCACCCCTGACAGCCTGGAACCCCGCCCCTCACGCATGGAACCCCTTCCCTCACTCATGGGGCCCTGCCCCTCACAATTTTAGCCCCGCCCCTCAACCATGGAGCCCTGCCCCTCAATGCCTGGAGCCCTGCCCTTCAGAATTGGAGCCCTGCCCCTCACCCATGGAGCCCCGCCCATCACTGCCTGGAGCCCTGCCCCTCACACATGGAGCCCCGCCCCTCACACCTGGGGCCCTGCCCATCACGCATGGAGCCCCGCTTCTCACACATGGAGACTTTTCCCTCACATATGGAGCCCTGTTCTTGGAAAGAAAGACACTTACACTCAGGACACAGCTGTGGGCACAGGTAGCTTCAGGCTTCCCTTCCTTCATCTTGTCTCCTGGGAAAGGTGGCTGCTGTGGGAAACCCCACATATCTTACTCTGCTCCCAGTCCCATCCTCTGTGCCCTCTTGTAACTCCCCCCAAAACAGGCACCTCAGAGAAAAAAACAGGCCAAACCCCTTTCTTTTCCTCCCCTAACAGCAAAATATTTTTTAACTGCTGTAATACAGTAGATTATAAACAGCTCTTGTACATGACACAACATGTACAGGTTACATCATGGAACAGCTCCAGGGTTAATGCTGGGGTGTCCCCTGTCACAGGCAGGGACGGGCCACCATGGCTGGGGTGTTCCCAGTCACAGGCAGGGACGGGCCACCACGGCTGGGGTGTCCCCTGCCACAGCCAGGGATGGGCCACCAAGGCTGGGGGCACCTGGAGAAGGGACAAGGCGAGGCTGGCTGGGAGGTGTGTGGGGAGCTGGTTCTGATGCTGCAGAGCACATGAAGTCCTGGAAGCTGCTGTCCCTCTGGCAGCTCTGGGTTCAGCTCTGCACTCAGAAGCAGGAGCTCAACCAGTTGTGCTTGCCTTCAGCAGGTAGGCCAGGTGCAATCCACACAATATCTCATTGAACAAACCCAGCAGGAAGGCCCCCAGCTCCCACCACAGCACACACTGTACTCTGTGCTCTCCTGTGACAGCATTTCACAGCTCAGACCCAGGACTGCTTCACTCCCACAACTGGCAGCCACACACCCCAACAGAAAGAACAAACTAGGCATGAGGACTGCACAGAGCTTTGGTCTTCCCAGAAACAAGCAGTTTTCTGCATGAAAACCCCAGGACGCATTTTGATGGAGTAACATTGATTTTCATCAGGTTATTGAGCAAGAAGCTGCAGCTGTACTGGCTGCCATTCCAAAGCTGGAGGCTTCCCACCTCACAGCTCAGGGAGTTACCATGGAAGCAAGCTGCACAGTTCTTGTGTTGGAAAGAACCACAGAAAACAGTATATGTTATATTACATTGTATTAAGATCTTGTAAAGGGCAGGTTGGGAACCTTCACATCCTCACCACTGACCAGAACATTGCACTGTTCTGGTCAAGTGCTCTGGCACTTGCAGTCTAAGAAACTCAAACGTGGTGTAATTGACTTTTAATTAAATAAGCAATGTGCAAAAGACTTAGTATTTCCCCTCCAGCACTCTTGAGAAAAATGAAAATAAGCCCACATTCAAAAGCAATTAAAAAACCCCACAAAATTCAAAGTAATCCAAATTGTTAATGCCCTGACAGCATGGTTGCCAGATGCCTTGATCTACAAGGCTGAAAACCTCAACTTGTCAAAAACTAAGACTAGTTCCAACAGCTGAGCATCCCTTTCTGGTTGCCTTTAGCTTGCCAGATGCTCAAGCCCTTAGGCTTTCAACAGTGATGATGCTGACACAGTAAATGCTGATATTCCTTCTGGGCACACAACAGTGCCAGGTGTGAGGGAAACACCAAAACAGGACACAAAGTGCCATCCTTTGGTCTCTTTTTGAAAACACTGAAACTGTATCAAGACCTGCCATGGGTTTCAAGATAGCAAAACAAGTCCCTAATCCATCCCACCCTCTTTGAGTGCAGTAACCTCTGTAAGTGTTCTGAGCACCAGACAAAAAAGAATTGGACTGAATCTCATCCTGTACTTTGTCACCCTATACAGGTGACAAAGCTGTTTGGCCAAAAGGTGTTTTTTTTGTATTTTTGACTGTTTTCTCAGTAAGGAAGCTTAGTTGTTCCAGAACTTCTATTCTCTCCTCCCACAAAAGGTATGAGTAATCTGAAATCTCTCACCAATCTGAATGATGATAAAGTAATCCATTTAATTCTCAGGATTTTATATATGAATACTGTAAAATTTGAGCATATAGTTCCGCTGAAATTACTTCAACGGTTTCATCAAACAATTTTTAGCAGGAAGTGTTGTCAGAGGGGAACCTCACACAGAAACACTATTTGGCAAATTTGACCTGGTACAATGTCCTTTCTCAAGAGCATCATTCCTTCTTACATAAGACTTGGAGGAGTTGAAGTATGCCTTAGCTTTCATGAAATTACTTCTGACTGAGCTTAGTGAAAGCAGAAGCCCAAAGGAGAGTGTGAAGTGGCTTGGGAGACAATTCCACCAATGGTTCCAATACTGCTGCTATGAAATACCCAGGGCTGTAGGTAGTAAGGATATGCGGTTCTCCATTGGCAGCTGCTGATAACATTTGAATAATTCTAACATATTTGTCACCGAAGTTCTGGTGTCTCTATCAGGTGGCCCTTTTCACCACAGTTAAGGTGTGTCCATCAGGTGACTGTCTCCAATAAAGGGAGCTACAGTTCCAGTAAAACTGGAGTGATGTGTACCCAGACACTCTGCAAGCTCCCTGTTCTGCTTAGCACCTGACAGAACAAGGGAGCTGAAGGAACTCTGACAGATTCATTGCTATGGAAACACTAAACTCACACAGGGCCCCTGTCTTTATTGGTGTGGGTGGGAGGATGTCCCACCTCCTCACCAAGAGGGCAGTACCCAGGAGGCTGATTTCCACCTGCAGCCCCCTCTGGTGTCAGGGCAGACACAGGCAGTGACAAAGCAGCTCTGGGCCAATCCCCAGCAGCACTAAAACTTCTCCAATACACATGGACAAGGTGTGCTGGCACACTGAACTGCACATGGCCATTTGAAACAAGATCATGCTCTGTACCTGTAAAGTTGAACCCATTCTCTTACAGTTTGGTCATATTATTTCAAGTTTTTCTTAGTAAAGAAACCCTTAAGAACCTGTGTACCTTAAAGCACCTGCCAAATCAAAGCAAAAGCTCTTTTACAAGTTAATCATGTTAAAAGAACTGATTACCTAGAATAGGAGAAAGGAAGAACAAGAAGAAAAAGTACTCCTCAAGTCACAAGGGCCATCGGAGAACAGAAATGCTGTAAGGCAGTTGGGAACTAAATGAATACAGAGAAACAAATTTTTGGTGTAAAAACACACCATGCTCTGCTTCTGAACCTGCCTCAGCACGGTGACAATCCCTCTTCCTCTGCCCATTTGTATCTGTTGGCATACACAGGATGCAGCTTGAAGCCAGCCAGGAAAATTTTGGCCATCTTCAGAGCAAGGAGGTAAACACCCTGTGGCTCTGCCACTTGTCCATGTCACAGTGGCAGGCAGGAGCATGAAGAACAGTAGTTTTGTAGACATCCCATTACCAAAAAGGAGAAAAAAAAATTGCAAATGATGGCTAAGAAAGATGGACGGATACCAACAATGAGCTACCAGCAAATCTGACTAGCTTGCCTCTTGTCCAGAAAAGCAGCAACTTGGGGGGGATCCCTGGATGAGTAGGATTCCAGTAGACTCCACCTTCAGCTCAATGTTTTACTGGCATGGAAATGGCTCAAAGTGGGACAGCATGTTATAGATGCTGCCTTTGAAGTCTGTTGCAATCCAGGTCAACTGGTTTGCTCCAGCAATGTTTAAAAAAATTACAGTTTCTCCCCAATAATGAAGAGGCCCAACTTCCCTTAGAAAAAGTCTGTAGTAAGTTAGATCATTGGTCCAAGTACTTGGAGGACACCTCTGTTTTTCTGTGATGTCATGGCCAGAGCACCCCATTTTCACATCTTCACATGACAGGACCATGAGCGTGGCTTTAAATAGTCCAGGAATGTGGGCTGCAAAACATGGAGAGGCAGTAATTAGTCACAAGCCAACAGCACCAGCTGTGGTACAAGCTGCTGAAATCAAGCTTCTCTAACAGGAAAGATCAAACCACATGTCTGCACCCTAAAACCCTGTTCTTGCCTTCACTAAGAGGTGACTGAAAGTGTAAGTGCAGCCATAAGTTCTGTTACATCAGGTAAACACTGTGCCTAGTAGCCTGCTGTATCAAGAAGGCAAGTAATTAATGATGGCAAACTCTTAACTGAGGAGAATCAAACTTAAAATAGAGGATACCTTTGGTTAAAACTGAAATCACCTGGGACAGCAAGAAGTTCTGTCTAGAACAGAATCTGGTACCAAGAAAATGAGTTAGAGGAAACACCACCTAAAACCCCAAACTATCTACAGGTAACCACTTGTCACCACCACCCACTCTAGCCTGGGAGAGGCACAACAGGCACAGTTTTTGTGGGCCTTCTACAAAATTTCTCCTCACTTCACTGGCCAAGTGCTGCAGTTCCATTGCCACAGCCTAAATGAGGTCTGGCCTATCCTCTGAAATGGGGTAGCACCACCCTCAGTTCCAAGCAGTGAAATCCTACCAAGCACAAAAGGACCATTACTGAACACACTTCTAAAAGGCAGCTCTAGGCTAAATAACTCCTAAAGAATGGATGTAACACACTGCCAGAAAGGTTCATGCCCTTTAACTTCCACTCTTCCTGCACAGCAAGACAGGACAGTCACTCCCAGAGCTGGTTATCCAGGGGAATAACCAGGCACTCACGTTTTCCACAGGGCAGTACTGGCGGGCGTACCACTCCTGGCTGTAGAGGCAGATGATGACTCCTTGGCCCAGGAACAGGGAGGTCCACATGATGACATTCCAGAAGGGCCCTTTCCGACTGTCATTCAGGGTGAAGTTGAAGACCACTGAAAAGGGGAGGAATGAGAAGAATTTCAGAAACAAACTCAAGGTTCAAGAATCAAAGATGACCTGATTTTACTGGGATCTTCCCCTCCTTTCACTTCATCTCTGGATCAACAAGGCTACTGCATGAAAATCTGATTATGCTTGGCAATAGAGCAAATACTCTGAGCTGATTCTCACATTTACAAGCTGTGTGCCTCTGGGGAATCAACATTATTTCTCTTACACTGGTCACCAAGGCATGGCAGAGGTGGCCTAGAGTTTATTAGAGCACTCTAAAACACAAAAGGAAATCCAAGAGCTCTGATTTCTAAATGGGCTCTTCTGTTAGATTTCTGACCCATATATATAGTAACAGAGGTGTTTTAAAAACTTTTGTTCTATTTTCAGTCTCATGAGAAGGGTGAGACAATACAGATATTATAATTCATGCCATCATAATTCCATTTCCCACACTCTTCCTCACTGCAGTAGTGAACTAACTAATAGTTTCCTTATACTGTGAACAGAGGAAGACTGACAAGCTGCTGACACACAGTGATTCAACTACAGCTTGGCAAAGAGGAAGCAGTGCTGTTAAACTCTGTGCAGTGTCACAGGAACAGCAGTGTATAACACAGATCCCTCTTCCTCATCACCAAGACCTTGATCATCTAAGCCCCAAGATTCCAAATCCTCTGTGTGTACATAGGTGTGGATCTCCTGAGCTGCAAAAATCCATTCACAAAGCTTGGACTCACAATTGCAACCCTTGGGCAACAATACTGTGTGTTAGTGCTGAGGGAACAGCCGGCATCATTATCAACAGCACAAAGCATGCTTCTCTAAAAAAAGCCACAAACCCCACAGCCACTCCCACACTCTCCTCCTTGGAGCTTACCTCCAAAGCATGAGAACAGGCAGAAGAGAACTGGATAGAAGAAGCCAAAGCAGATGCTGAGGACATACTCGTGCACAGCAGCTGACACAGTGAAGACAGACAGCATGGCTGCTGCTCTGAACTTCTTCCCAAAAAACTGGGAGAGACAAGAATGCCAAGTATTAGGAGCTACTCTGCTGCGGTTTTTGTTTTGGTTGTTGCAATACAGTGAATTTTCTTCCCTGAGCTAAGAAGGTTCTCCTCCAGCCAAGAGGCATGTGTGAAATGCCAAGTGCCTTACAGGGCACCTTGGGCTTTAGGTGTTTCTCTTCAGGTACATTTCTGCATTAGTACTTGTGCTGAGCCCACTCATTAAATACCTCCCACAGCTCATGGAAACAGTGCAACATGGGTTCTGACTGCTCAGGCAGTCTCTGCATTCCTACATCTCAGCCCCACGTTTTGCACACATTAAGGACTTGGAAATGAGTAATGGACCCCTCTAAAAGCACAGTTGCTCCCCATAACAGCTGACATGAAACATTTTTATGCCTCTAAACATTTTTATGCTTCTACATCTTGACAAATGTACCGTTTTGCCCGGTAGTTGAATGTTTAATTAACAAAAGAACACATCAGCTTGTTACTCACCCAAAGGAAGTCCCTGTAGGCATAGTAATAGAGCCAGTCATGTACCACCACATTCCAGGTTCTGTAGTAGTTTGCATAGGATGTGGAATTCCACCAGTCCTGAAAGCACAATGGAAAGACTATACATATAATTAACCATAAAACATTCTAGAAGGCTTTTCTAGGATATCAAATTGAAATATATTCAGCAAAATAATACCAAGCTAACATAACAATTTGACCAAGCTTTCCATCACACTTCCAACATTCTACTTAGAGTATCAAGGTCTGGTTTTACCCCAAACTGCTGTGGCTGATGTGATAAAAGAACAAAAAGAAGGCTAATGGAGCTATTGGGTAGGTCTGTTGGCTGCTTCTGTTTGTGCACAGGGTATTTCACCTTAAAGCAACTCAGACTGCCAACAGAAACCAAATCTGTTCTACAGCACAGCTACAAACTTAAGCCTTAACAGCATAAACCAAGTAAAATCCCATGGTTGCTGTGTTTGGTAAAATAATCTTCAGTTTCCTCCTTTTTTGTTCATTATGGCAATGACTTTCAGAAACTTAATAAACTGCAGCTCCTGCTTCTCACCTTGTAGAACATCCTGTCTGCAAAGCGCAGCATCTCGGCAAACGCGTTCAGCCAACAGTGAAGGAACGCAAAGAACACCAGGAAGAGAATCAGGACACCTGGAAACAAGGACAGCCACACCAGTTTGGCAGTGTTTGCTCTCAGCCACAAGCAAGAGCACCTAACACAGTCAAAAACTGTTCTTATAGACACTGACACAGATGAGCTCTACTCTTTTGTACAGGTAGCACAACAATATTTCAGTTTCTCACCATACTAGGCCCTGCTCTCCCCAGAGGGCAACAGCAAGGCTGCCCCAGAGCTTGCAGCTCGATTTGAAGAGTTAAATTCAAAGCTTTTATTTTGTATTGCTGATTTTGAAGTTTTACCCCTTAATGCTGCAGTCTATTCGCAAAATCTCCTTTGTTGATCTCTGCCTGTCATGAATGTATCTCAAATGAAGCACTTCTCCCTTCCACAAAGATGAAAGTCACTCGTGGATCTGGGCCTTACCTGGCAGGATGGAGTTGAAGATACAGAGGACCAGCCCTCGAAGGTTGAAGGTTTCCTGACTACTGTTGCGAAACAGAGGAATGCAGAGTCTCACAAAGATGTAGTAGGCATAGAAAAGTGAGCCAAGCACCTGGAACAAAAATACCCCAAAACTTGACTTCATAACAGGAACACACAATTAACACATCACCACTTGCCAGCTCTAGGAGAGAATGGCAGCTGCCAACACAAGCCAAAATAATTTATTTTACATTGCTGCCAATAAAGCTCCCCAAGGATCCAGGCAGAAAGAAAGCCACAGCAATCCCTGGAGCATGCTGAGCAGCCAGCAGCAAAATCAACTTCTCTTTTCTACTACAGCAGCTGTCAGTTTTTCCCAGTCCTATCAACTCACACATTTTGACACAAAAAAACCATGCCACTGCCAAAGTGGGGAAAATACCCTTGATCTGCATCCAAGGTAAGGGCACAAATAATTGAAAAATACTTACTGTAGTTAAATCTAATATTAAAGTTTATTTTTATTTTATTCCAAAGTTGACATTTACGAGCCAAAGCACCTCAGGCTTTCTCTGACTCACGAACTGATGTTGTGGATGTTGAGGTCAAAATGCCAATGTTGAAATACTTGGATGTAAGGCAGGTGCTGTCCTCCTCTTTGTCCAACAGCAAGCAGCCAAAGGCCTGTTCATGCTGCCTTTTTTTTCTTAATTGTTTTGCTTTTTAAACCATAAATGCATTGTGTTACAGCAAAAGTTTCAGTCACACAAATCCATTACTTGGAAACACATCCACAAGAAGTTACTGGAGCTCATGGCCACAAATGTGAAGAATCAGTCAGTCTTGAACTCAAATAAGCACTGGGGATTTGGACCCCAGGCCTCATTATTTACAAATTGCTTTGAATAACTGCAGAGAAGAAGCTGTGCCCCTGCACTACAACCAGAGTGAAGAAAGAGGGCATGGGTATTGATCTACACACACAGTTTTTTTTAACTGTAAGCTTGTTTAAGCAAATATTTCAATTTTTTCTTTTTTTGGCACAACCATTAGTGCAGCAAGATGACAGTTTGTTAGTCAATGAAAAGTATTCTTTATTGGTAAGGCCATGCCAAGTGGAGTGATTTAATGCCAAAGAGAGCTGTTGGGCAACACATCTTAGATGATCTCCAAGAGTGTATTCTGCAGAAAGCTGCACCACTCACCTGTGCAAATTTGGTAGCTACATAGCCCCATCTTATTGTGGGATTCCTAGAAGGAAGAACAGGATATCACAGTTAAATAGCACATCAAAGCAGCAAACCCCTCCCTTCAATTACTTGAAGGATTTTACAATTTTACTGACATATTCTCTAAAAAAAAATAAAAAATGGCTTCTGAATTCCAGAATTTTTAATCTCCTGACGTCCAAGGGATGTCTGCCCAAATTGCTGGTTCCTCACTTTCAACTACAGCAGAACTCCAGGAATTCCATAAATGGGAAGGTATCTGGAGGGCAGCACTGTACAGTTCTGTAGGAGGTGGGTATCTGCAGACAGTTGTGTGAAGGACTGCTGACTTCACACAGCCAAAGTGTCACCCAGCAATGCACAGAAGAGTCTGGGAGTTCCCACTCATAAAGGCTTCAGCCTCAAACTCGGAGACAGGGCTGCTTATTAGCACCACATAAACACACAGGTTCCTGCTGCAGGAACTGTCTATCACTACATGATCTGTAGCAAGTTCTTAATTAGTTCAACTTCAAGTGAGGTTCCCAAGGAAATAAAAGCAGAACTCCATGAGCAAGTTCTGCCCTTGCCAGCTTAACCACATCTTTGTGAAAGCTCCAACTCATAAATTGATCACACCCAGGGGTGCTTAATGTTGGCTTTAGTTTTCAGACTGCTTAATGTTCTGTTGTTGCTCACATTACCTGGGATAGTTGTCTCTGTAGATGAGGGTGGGAGCAAAGAGGAAGTACAGGTACTGAGAAATTCTGGGAATATGTACTGTGCCTGGGAAGAGGGGGAAATAAAAAACAAAAGCAATCTTTTTACTGACAGTTCAGCCTCCCCCAAAAAACAGAACCCTTCTCACCTCAGAAACCTCAGTCTGGAACTAAAAGTATGGGATTTGCAGAGAATAAAACAAACTGGACCTTTCAGATGGTGTGCATGAAGGACAGTTAGCAAGTGAGGGTAATCAAACTATCTGCTAACACCTTGGTATCACATTTCCTGTCCTATCAACACATGGGTTCAGTCCAGTCAGCTCTAGTATGCCTTGCTTAAAAGACCTTTTCTTCTATGATTGCTGTTATTTCAACTACAGCACTGAGCTGGAGGTCGGCAGGCAACATCTAGACAACTTTTACTCCTAAAAGCAGAAATAGGGAATCCTGGAGAACAAAGATTTAAGATCCAGAGAGGACTTAGACCTGAACTACAGTCTAGCTTGTTGTCTAATACAACTGAAAACAAATGAAAAGGTTCAGGCTGAAATTATGATGCAGAACCTTCAACCTCTCCATCCAAAGTCACCAATTCAAATCCCACCTCTCCAGCTCATGAGAGCAGCTCACAGCAATGGAAGGAAAGCTAGAGCTGGCTATATAAAATGGAGCAGGGTAAGTTACTCACCAGACTTGTCCTTCACTGAGGACAGGACTCGGGGTACGTTCTCCCGGATGAAGGAATGAGCCTTCATAACAAGACGAACCTGGAAGGCCAAGAGAAGAGCAGCTCAATGCTCTCATTTTCACAACCTTCCAGTGAAGACTGGATCCAGCATTTTACAGCAACACCTTCAGCATCTTGGTTTCTTTCCCATTTAGCCCTTTTACAAGCAAAGGGCTGCTTCCTCCACCCACAAGCCTGTTTAACTGACATGAATTCCAAACTCTGCAAGGGGAAACATGCAGCAGCAACTATGGCTCAGGAGACACATCTCATCTACACTTGCAGGACCACCACATACACAAGGACTGTGAATAACACCAGCAAGTCACTAATCAGCTAACATTAACTTAAAATGGAAGGGAAACCCCTCTCCATTTCAGCAGGCCAGGATGTTTCAGAGTCTAGGTGTGTCCTTGAAGTTACGTGTGTTGAACAGCAATTATCACTACCTGGGTATAAGGTGGTGCCCCACATAAACAGTCCACAGCTATCAAGCAGGTTTTTCTTTTAATTTTGTTTTAATACTGAAGAACCAAAAGTAGGGCCAGTCTAAAGTTAATTCTTAAAACTCATCCCTGACCATCCTTGTTTTAACCTGATGGACTGACCAGACCTCCACTCTTGCACTTTTCTGTTCCTCTCCACAAAAAAAATTCCACTTCCAAACAAGTCCTGATTACACAGCCAAGACACTTGCTTCTTGAGAACAGAAATGCCAACAGGAATCACCTCCTGACCACATACTTGCCTTTTTGGGTTTTGTTTTTTAAAGAGGAACATGATAGCTTCCTTGTGGACTATGGCACAACATGTTCTTAAAATTGGTTTTAAGCACTTAGGCATCCACAAGACAACCAGAAACAAATGGAATTTCAGTAAAACCCACAGTAAAATCTTAAATATTGGGTAAAAACCCACAAGTGGTTTCCAGGTCAAAATGAAGTTTATTCTCTACTCTTTCTTATTAGACTTGCTGCATGTAACTGTCCTCAAGTCTCAGAGATGCTGCATCCACAGCCTTGGCTTAATTTAATGAATAAAAACAACATTTGAGTTCTTTAGGAAAAAGGACCCTTTCCACTTTGAAAATAAAATGCAATTCAATGTATCCTAGGGTCCAGAGGATGCAGGGTAGGGATTTACCTGTTCCAGGATTACAATGAAGCGGGAAGCTGGAGGCAGGGCATAGGCTACAGCAACATAGGTTGGTCCAAACCCAAGCCCAGCTATTTGGAAGAGTGTGAACAGCATCCCATAGAAGAAAGAGTGGATTGCACGATGGGAGGAACTGGAATAGCCTTGGGCCCACCACACAAAAAGGTTGTATGGAACAACTACTGTGGCACTGAACATGCACAGCCAAGTACAGAAGACAACTGGGAACTTTCCAAAAACGAAGACCAGGAGATCAAATCCAAGGACCAGCCTAGAAGGCACAAGGAAAGAGACAATTTTTGAGCGTCCATTCTTTGATTAGAAATACTTCTACTCCACTAAGTGGCCACGAACCACAAAGCTTCCAGATCATAACTGGTTGACAGTCTGGATAGAAGTGACCATGGCAATTTCATCTCAGGGCTGTCTGTGGCAGCTTCAAGTGACCACACTCAAGTATCCCAGAAACTAAGAGGAGGACTGATGCCATCAGTGCTGGCAGGCACAGCTTACCTTCAAATCCCACAGGGTTTAAGCACATCTCTAAGATCAGCATGTGCTTTAAGAGCAGGCTCAAGCTCATCCCTCCCAAGAACAAGCACATGACTGAACAATCCACTGCTGGACGAAGGTCCACGAGAGCTTCTGGGGAACACCCCCAGGACATCATCACTACTGCACTGGAACTCAGCTCTTCCCAGGGGTTTAAGCCTAAAGAGGCTTTTCCCCTGTCTCTATAGTCATGGGGTATTTTAACATCCAGCACTCAAAGCTAGTCTAATCCTTTTCTGTGGGCATTCCACACACATTCAGTTTAGAAGTTCTCCAAAAGGATCAGGGTCATTAGAAGGTCAGTCCAAATAAGAGCAACTGGTGCGCACCAGGTGCTTTAGTCCATTAATCAAGCTTAAAACATAAGGACATAAACAAAAGGTTGATCAACTTCACTGCCTCTCACACTTCCTCAGAGCTTACTCCTACAATATGCTCTTCTAAACTAAGACCAGAAGACACAGAACAGAATACACCAACAAAAGTTATTCCTTCTCAGGTGGAGGCTCAATTGCAAACTGGATCCAAATTATCAGATCTAGCTAAAACCATAGATATTTTTAAAGTAATCAGGGCATGCAGCCCTACATGATTTTAAGGTAAATACTACTGCATGGACATATTGGGGGAGAATGGGTAAGTTTAGATCAGCTAAGCAACATTTAATAGCACACATGCCTGTTCTTATACCCAGACTAAAGGGACAATGATTATAAACAAGATACAGTTCTGGTTTTGTACACTGAAGAGCAGATAATCAGCAAGATAAACATGTAATCCTACTTGTGTACATGAGATACAGCTTGCCAAAATATTATTTAAGCAACAACTGAGGAAAGCAGTCTTTCACAATCTTATTCACAACTGGCTACCTGCAAAGCACTATCTTAGCAGAGGCTCTGCCAACATCCTTGAGATTTTTCCCCAGGAAAAACAAAGTTCTATTTTTATTTGAGTACAAGTACAATGTTCCAGAACTGTCATTTTTAAACAGAGGAAGGACTGCTGAAGTATTTAAAGTTTTTCTAAGCAGAGTCCTTCTTCAAGCAACACAAGCAGCTGAAAGCTGCTGTCTCATTAAAGATACTCAACCAAAGCATTCCACATTCCCTTTTGCCAGCCTCGTGATGAACTAAGCACGTTAGGGTGAGCTGTGTGGCCACAACTCTCCTGCAACACATCAGTTAGCAGTGTTTTCCTAATATCCAGATTTCCAATTTGGAATGGTCATACCCTCTCAACAGGAACTCCAGCACATATTTTAAGTATGCCAACTTAAAACCCACACTTGCAGCAACACCCCAAGAAGGATTCCCCCTTTCTGCACCATTTTGCAGTTTCATGTGCATCTGGCACTCTGGAAGAGCTATTCCCAGCCCTCATCCCTGTCTTTCCAAGGCATTCTTACCTTCCTTCATCAATGAAGTCTACTAGAAGTGTACTGAGGATGAAGACGATGAGAAGGGCGATGAACATGTGGTAGATTGTCGTGATGTGACTCACTTCAAACAGCTCACTAAGGGAGACACCAGAGTTAAAGTACAGCTGGGGTGCCACAGACACACACACTTGCTCAGCTTATCCTCAGACAAAGGATAATTAGCCATGATCCCAGTGGTACTGAGATGGCTGTAATTAAGGTTTATATTGGCAAGATGTAGTACAGATATTTTAGGAAGAGAGAAGTTTGAACAGATTAATCCCCATGGATTTAAACATAAAACTGTGGGGGGGTGGCAGGGAAAGTACCTCAAAGCAAAGGCTCATTAGCTTGCTATCAAGGGTATTTTCAGTAAATTTGATCAAATTACTTTGATGAAGTTAAGTTACTCACTCCAAGAGGGACCTCCTGGCAGTAAAGATTTTCCCGTGTTCTGGAGGGGCCCTTGAATTCCTGCAAGCAAAGAATATTTGTTTAACATTTGAGCCAAAAAAGGAAATAAAGCTTCTATGAAACACAACCTTGTTATAGCAACAGCTTAAAAGGAACTTACTTAGCTTTGTGCAGTTCCTTCTCTGCACAGGAAGCTGGGAAAAGGGAGGCTGCAGATGAGGAATCCAGGAGTGCTGATTTTGCCACCAAGCTGTTCACAAACTCTGTGAAGTGACTGTCCACCTCTTTCATGAAAGCTGGCTTCAGTTGCTGACAGAGTAAAAAACACAGCAGCAAACTGTTAACTTGCTGGATACATTTTCATAAAATATTTATATTCCTTTTTATCCTGGAGCAGGACAGAGCAAGGCATCAAAAAAACATTTCTGTATCATGAACCAGCAGTTGGAGCCTACTTGGATAACCTGGGGCTGATCCTGGCCAGTTCACAGACCTCAGGCCAGAGGACTTTGAATAACATTTATCTTCTCCATCAGATTCAACACAGAATTGCTCTGGCCTTTTAGAAGACTTATCAGAGTCCTGAGAATTTAGTTCCTTAATGTTTAACCCTCAAAATGGGGAGCCAAGTGATGAAGCAGAGCTGAGAGCCAACCCCTGAGCTCCTGAATACTCCGCCAGCCAGCCATCACCTTCAGCACAGGCAAAAGGCAAGTCTCAAGAAATTATTTAAAATCTGATTGCACATTATGTTTTGTTTTCTTAATGCAAGTGTTTACTAGCCATGTTTGTCTGACCATCCTTTGCCTGGGATTTTTCCAGTTTGCCTCCAGATTCAAGGTGGAAGCCTTCCTACACGACATCCCAGATCAGAATTCCCAACTGCTATCTACTTTCTCATCTTGAAGGTTGAAAAGAAAAACAAAAACATCCTGTTTTCAAGGAACTTTCTGGAGGAGAGGGGGTTGTGTGGAGACCTCACAGCACCTGCCAAAGTCTGAAGGGGACCTACAGGGAAGTCAGAGAGGGACTCTTCATGAGGAACTGCAGTGACAGGACAAGGGATGATGGCTTCAAACTGGTAGAGGGTAAGTTTAAATCAGATATTAGGAAAAAATTCTTCCCTGTGAGGGTGGGGAGGCCCTGGCACAGGGTGCCCAGAGAAGCTGTGGCTGCCACCGATTCCCTGGAAGTGTCCATGCTAAACAAAGCACTATTCATTCCCATCAAAAAATACGTATTTTTTGAGTAGTGTCTCCCCATTTTTAGCCTAATCTCTCCTCAAGTGAGGCTTTAGCAATGATATTTCCTAAAAGTACCTCTTCCCTTTGGCTGGCACTCTGCTGAGATTGCCTCCTCATAACACAGCCCTCCAGGGCTGATACCAGCACGTGCATGTTTGGATTGGGAGAGCAGGACATGAGTTCTTAAAGGATTAAATCAAATACAAACCAGAGTATAGACCCTACAGTAATTGTAACTAACTGTAATTACAAACTAAAAACCCTTGAAAGAATGCTATGCCATTAAAAGCAGAAGTTGGGCAATAATAAAAAAAATTATAGCAAATCAGAAAGTTGAGGGAAGTAACCTTTTACTTATAAAGTTGCAACTGTTCCCCAGAACTTTACTCATTCTAACAGATTTAGTAATTTTTGTCACCGACACCTGACAGCCCTGACCTAGTGACAGAACACACCATTCTCAGCTCCTTTTAGAATAAATAAAGGACTGGAGTTTTAGACAGCAGATGCTTGAACACCTCCTATGCATGAGTAACTCCCAGCTCAGCTCCTACAAATCCCATTTGACCAAGCTTTTCACAAGTCAAGCATCTGCCCAGAATTTAGATACCCATCACAGAAAAGGCAAACTGCAATCCAAGCCTCTGTTCAGTGGTTCCCACAACAAAAGGGCCCAGCACTCCAAGAATTCTCAGTTATATGGCAGCAGGGTGTGTTTTTTTCTCCTCAGCCTCAAGACACCTGAAATAAATCTGCAAGCTGCATAACTCAAAGCTTAAAATCTGAACTTTGTGTTTTGGGAGAAAATTCAGCAATTAAAGCACCACTGATTTTCTAGGATTCTCTTTGTGGGTAAGAAAACTTTCTATGAATCGTGTCTCAAAGCTGGTAACCAGAAAATAAACAAAAGGAACGAGAGACACTCCTGGAGAAAGAAATCCAAGGTCAAGTTGTCCCCTTGCAAGAAGCTAGTGCTCCCTGGAACTTCCAAAGCTACTTGTGCTTTACAGTGAAAGCCTTTTCCTGCAAACACCCACTGCCAACAGTGATTAGCAACGACTGTTCTGTCTGCAGAGAAGTTACCAGGCTTGATCTCCTGTTCTCAGGAAGGATAAACAGGATAAGACAACATCCAAAATAAAATTCTGAGCTGACTGCCCCTCTGAGGCAGTCAGCTCAGAATTTTATTTAAAGGGCTGAATTTAAGGAGTTTCAGCAAAAAAAAAACCAGCACATCTTTTGCAGAAGGCTATTTAAATACACCTTAGTTATACCTGTTATAAATCCCACGCCACCTATAAAGGTAGGGAGAAAGAGGAAAAGAAAAGTGAAACAGGAAAATATCTCAAAGGTGCAAGGTATTTTTCTCTAAGTATCCACTCCCTACTATTCATGTCAAGCTGGCACAATTAGATTACTTCAGATTTAGCACAGAATTTTCTGCAATAAAATTATGCAAGAGTGCAGGGCAATTTGCCCTGAAGAACATGGGTGCCACAAAACAATGGTTAACAAGGAGGGTGCAGTTCATCCTTAGCCAATTTCATTTAATTTGGGCATAAATCACCTTAAAATAACCTAAGACAAAGCCCACACAGATGCAGATGTTGCCAGAAACACCCAGTGCTATTTTCTATGAGGATATTGTTCACTGACAAAAAGAATGAGACCAAAGCTCAGGAAGGTCATCTCCACAGCCAGGGCAGCAGAAGCTGTGGGGTGCAGGCTCCATGCTGCCCTTTATTCAATGGATAGCAGGGCACAGAGCATTTTAAAGGCTCAATATGCAAGCAGGCTGGCTAATCATCACACTGCCAAAAGTTAGTGGTAAGGCAATTTCCATTTTATTTACAGGTTTCAAAGTTCATTCTTATCTTTGGACTTCAACCTATTAGGGTCAAGTAAGACAGAACCCCATTACATAAGATCATCCCTCTTGTGCTAAGTGGGACAGAGAAATAGGGCTGGGGAAAAGTCACTGCACTCAATCTAGGACTGAATAGGGCTATTTGTGTTCCAGGGCTAGTGACTCTCCAAAAGACTTCCAGGGTCAATTGTCCTGCTCCCCACCACAAGCAAGTATTGTGTTTACCTCAGCTTCTGCTATGAGCTGCATTTTCCTTGTTATCACGTGGTCCACATCAACCCAGCCTAAGGAAGGAAAGCAAATATTCAGTATTTTTTTGTTGCATGTCTGAAAACACAAAAAGCACAGCATACAGTAGTTCAGACACCAATTTTTCAACAGCATTTCTGACTTCTAATAGGGTCTCACTAAACTCAAATCAAAGCTGCAGGAAGTTCATAAACTGCAACCACATATTTTAGAACAACAGCACTGTAAGGCAGTCAACAGCTGAAAACATGCTGGATTTTATTTTTCATCAACAACTCTGCAAATATTCCCAAGGTCCCTAAACATATTCAGCCTTGAAGCAGCAATCAGAATGACCCTTAGAAGGTCATTTCCAAGCGTGCTGATTTTTTATCAGGGCTTTATCTTAAGCAGACATAAGCTTAGTTTGTCTGGAGGCCTCTGCATTGCCAACAGACAAGGCAGTCAGCCACAGCTATTAGTAAAATACCATGATCAGCTCTAAGACAGGCTAAATGGCAAGTTGGACAGTTGTTCTGTGCTCAAACCTGGCTATTCCCACTCATTTTATCCCCCAGGAGAAGTGCTAGATATCAGTGACTGTACTCCTTAATATGTTTGACTGTTAAGTAAACAGTCAGGTTTAACACACCATCAATACAATCTGACTTTTGTCATTACTAACACCACGGGCCAACAGGTAAAGCCTCAAATGCCACCTTTCTTTCACATTAAAAGCTACACATCTGAGATGTCTGTGTGACATCAAGAGGAACAACACCCACAGGTCAGACATTTCAGACTAGATGTGTTTTAGGACAAGCACCAGCTGGTGTTTCACTTCTCCAATAACAACAACACAGAAGATAAAATTACTTAAAACAGAGAGTCTTGCACATGAAGGAAAATCAAGATTGAAGCAGCAGCATCCATCCCCCTAAAATACCAGTCAGAGTGAAAAGATAGCAGCAAACCTGGCCTTGTTCTTATCCTTTGGCATTTATAGCTGCAGCACCACCTTACACACCAACACACAGCCAGCATTACAACTTGCATGGTTGGTTTCTAAGACAACATCACCACTTTTAGAAAAAGCAGGTACTGAAGTGATTCCCTAATAAGATTCCAGAGCAGCAAGAGCTATCAGATTTGCTGTAGAGGGGCCAAAGTTGTGCTGCTGTGAGACAAGAAAACAGACTGAGAGCACTAGCACAGTGCATAACGTGGCCTCTACACACAAAGCAGTTTCATTTTCAGAGCAGGAAATGCTTCTGTGCTGCTCTGGAGCCTGTCAGCTTATTTGAGCAACTGGCTTTAAGTGTTTTAGGTAGGCCTGCTTGAGAGGTGACTCCATTCCAGTACTGGAAGAGAGTACAACAACACAAGAAACTTTATCTTCAGCGCAGCTATGATCAGATATTAGCATTAATTCCCCTTCCCAACAATCAACCAGGAATTTTGACTTTTATCTGTCTGCAGGAATTTTGTTTTTTCCTATCTGCTACACAAGCTGTAGATTTAAGGACAGACCAGCAACAACTGCCTATCACTTAGCAGACTTCTGATGTAACAACAAAGAAGGAAACTGCTTAACACCATTGATTTTGGCTGCATCCAAGATCCATTTTTACAAAAATAGAACTCCTGGTTGCTAAGCATCTCACCTCCAAGACAAAAATAAAAAACAACCAAACACCTCAGCATTTAAGCTCATTGTGCTGTTACATTTGCAGAACAACAGCAGTTTGGAAAACAATTTGAGAAGAATGTAGGATACCAGTGACCCACTCACCTCATACACTTTGCTGGTCTCAAATAGATTCTCTCCCAACATGCTAAAAAAAAAAATAGTTTCACAAGCAGCAGAACTGTAACCCCTTCAGATGTTCTCAGGGGCTCTACTCCCTCACTGTGCCACTCCACAATTGTATTCCTAGCCCACTCCTTCTAGTACTAGTATGAGAAGAACCACTTTGTGCTGACCTACTAGAAAGCAGAACAGGGCTGCTGGGCTCAAAGAACAATTAACCTTTCCCTTCAAAAAACTAAGAATTTGTGTCCCTTACCCAGCTGCCAATCTTCAACATGATATCAAGTTTGCTTGAAGCCACCCAACAACAGCCAAAGAGAACAGGACACATGGGAGTTAAGAAATTGCATTTTCTCCTTTTAAAGATAAGCTAAGAATAAAATAACCAGTTCTTTGACTATATATTTCCTGTCAGATCTTGCCTTTGAAGCCTCACTCATTAAAAACTCACATCAAAAACTACCCAGGCATGGATCACTTTGGAAATAAAACACCCTTGCAGACTACAAGGCCTTAAAACTGTGTATAGCTTTACATATACCAAATGTCCAGCTTAAATGGTTGTACAAGAAATGAGAACAATCTCTGACCTGCTGATGCTCTAATTGCTAAATTGGAATTTAAAGTGTCCTCCTGTCACTGTAGTTGGCCTCATATCAGTGTGCATGCAGAGAAAAGATTAGAAATAGGTTTTAAAATCAAGATCTCCATGGCTTCAGTCAGAGCAACTCATATGACAAAGTAAACTCACCTGTGAGATTGTCTTTCTCAACACAGCCTCTTCTGTAGCAGAAAACTCACCCCAAACCAACCCATTCTGCTGTATTGCATCACCCCATAAACCCAGCAGTGTCACAAGGCAGATACCAGAGAAAAAGCACATCATCTTTAATCACTCAACTTCCCTTGCACAAGACACCACTTATGTTCTGTCAGGTCACTGGAGAAGAGATTCATCACATGATTTTGAGTCCAAAAGGAAATGTGCACTGCTGAGAAGTCCAAATCTTCACTTTCCTTTGACCCTGCAAATGAAGCCTGGATCCCTCTGTATCACTTTGGATTGCAACAGCATTATAGAAAAATGGACTCAAGGCTGCAGTATACAAGGAAGCACATCTTTGTATTTAAAAGACATTGAGATATGCCTTAAGAAGACAAAAAATATATTTAAAGTCATGAGAAAGTTGTCTGGAAGACAGGTATGAAATACCTGGCCAATTTCAGAGGAGGCTTAAGCAGGGCTTGCTTTGGAAGAGCTTTCTTCACAGGGAGAAATTTTTTTATTTAATGGCCTTTGGTTCCCTTCCCATCAGCAAGGACATTAACAACATCTTTAGAGGCCCACTGGTCTTGAGCTTGATCCTTATAGAATGTGACTCCTCTGTACAGACCGAATTCCAAGCAGGTTCCAAAGTCAGAAGAAAAAAAATCACAGAACAATTTAATTGTAAGCTTTGTTTCTCTTTGAAAACCAAGCCAATAAAAAAAATCACCTGAAGATTGAGAAAGCTTCCTAATTGTTGAGAACTTGAGCAACTAAAATTTCACAAGATTGACAAAGTACCTCTTCTAAAGGATCTTCTTGTCCCTTTTTCAACCCACTCTTGCACATCTTACAGATAAGTGACATTTGAAATGGGTAGAGCAGAGAATCACTCACATGATGTTGGGGCTGCAGCTTGGGATCCAAAATAAACCAGCTTTGTCATTTCTTGATAAGACAACTTCCCATTCAAGAAGTTAAAGCAACACAGGCAGAAGGACTTCATTATTGTCAGTCACCTGGATTTAAAGGCTCCCTCTCCAAAAACACTGAAGATGTTATCAGAAGCAAAGCAATATTAAAGCCAATCTAGTGCAGGGCTACTGTAAAGAGGGGAGGAGTTCCATATTGCTACAATACAACACACATTAATAATTTGAGCTAATGAGCCTTAATTCTTACTTATGGTAATTTATTTGGCCACTCAGCAATTAGAGGCAAGTTATGAGTAGACTCAGATGATCTGTTTAAAGAATTCACAGGCCATAGGTTACTGCACTGCTGGGCAAGCATTTAGCTTAAAAATTCAGTTCTGCAGGGACATGGAACCCAAACAGCCTCTTCACTAGCAGGAAGGAAAACCAGCATTCTCTGTATCATGCTACCATGTCCCAGGCTCTTCACAAGAAACTGCTAGCCTTTACCCAAACCACAGGTTCCAAAACATGACAGCCCCTAGAATGATCAGAATCCACCTAGATAAAACAGCTTTTTGATCTATCTCTCAGAAACATCCCAGATACTCAACTCAAGCAGCTGAATCCACAAGAAGCAGCCTGTTGAAACACTGAACACTCATTGCTGTGAATCATACAGCAAAGGCTAAATCTCTTTCCAAATTGCTCCCCCTTGGAGAGCTCTGTCCTCCTCCATCTCTCTGCAGGCACACAATTTGTGCATCACCATGAACTTTTGCACCAGGGATGATCGACAGTAACCTCACTGAAGATAACAGCCTTTTTCTAAGATCAGCATTACCAGCCAGGCTTACTCACAGCAAACAGATATGCCACACAGCTTGTTTGCAGATCGGCCTCCAGAGACACTTCCAGCCCTTGCCTGATCTCTGGGCAAACAAGAACAGACTCCAAACCCATCTTTTTACTGCTCTGAACACATTATCTAAGCATTTTAGAGGCACTCATGCACACTTATGATCCATGTCCTCTCTAGCCTTTTAAGATCTGTCCATTCCAGGTGACTGGTACAGTCTGATACCAATATCCCATTAGGCAGAGCAGTTTTCTATTTCTTTATGTATCTCCTGCTGAAAACATATAAGACTAATCTTATTAAGGAAGCCTGGCTTTTGACAGGGGATTATTGCCACCTAGATCATCTGCTGACTCTAAGCCAAGACCAAATTAGTTGTTTAATTACAACTCTGGAGCTAATTCAAGGAAGAGAAATTATGTAGAAGACTGAAGTTCAGCTACACTATCAAAGTGAAATTGCAGGCTGAATAATTACAAGATAGAAACAAATCAAGGCACAGAAGAATTCTTCTGGCAATCTCCAAGCTATGAGTGTTTCCACATTTCTATAAAATTGGGTATACCTGAGTAAAAACTATTTGAATCTTAGAACCCAAACAATGTGACAGTCTTCAAAAGCACTGCAGAACCAAGAAAAAAAAAATAACCTCAACTGTACAAAAAGAAGAGTCAGACCTACTGTAGCTCTAAAGCCAATACATGTATTAAAATTATCCCTCTAAGCAATTTCAGAGCAGCCAAAGGATTTGAGTTTTAATAAAGAAAGGATTAAGGGCCCAAAAGTTTCTGTAGACTTCTGGAAACAAGTCAGCTGGCCCTTGACACCTCCACTCTTACTGTAGAAAGCAGATTGTGTTTGCTATAACCAGAGAGGATCAAGGGTGGGTAATCACGTTAAAGGTTTAGTTTTTCTATGGCAATAACTGCCACAAACACACTACATATTCACTTCTGTACATTCTTGGCCTGGCTAGAACCCCTTGACTGCAACAAAATGGATTTTGTCTAAAATTCCTCACAACACCCAGCATGAAGTTGTTACAATACAAAAAAGCTGTTGCCAGACAGCAGACCATTAGCCTCACAGTGCCTTTGTGCCCATCAGCACTAATGCCTTAGAAACAGCTATTCAGGAGAGAATGGCCAGGACAAAAGAAAGAGAAAAAACATCTATGCCTGCTTCTCCTGAGAAATTCTCCCACCTCAGTCATGAAAGTCCTACCTAGTTACACAGGCACCATGGAGTACCTGAAGTGGCCACTGTCTGCAACTCAACAACACTTCAGCTTCATAAACCTTCAACCTTTGGGTCACAGAGCTGCTGATTCAACTCCCCTGTACAGAGGAATTCCTGACCAGAGGGATCCATCTTTCTGCCATGCCTCAAGGCATCAGATTCATTCCTCCTACCTCCCTGTGTTACTCCTGTTGTCACCAACCCTGAGCTAAGAAACACTTTGTGACACCTCTGCTCAACTGGCAGCAACCTTGGCAGGCGAGATGCACTCAAGTCTTGACTAACCAGGATTCCTCCCTGCTGTGCTTCACTGCAGTTTGTGTGGGAATTAAACCACACTGCACTGTTCCAAGCCAACCCACCAGGCACATGGACACTTTCAAGAGATCAACCCCAAGATGCTGGTTTGCTCCACACTCACAGTATCTCACCTGCAGTGAGGTTTTGTCACATCTCAGAGGTGTTAAAATGAACGGCCTGTAAAGACAGACACACCCCCCCATCAAGTCCTAATTATCACTGCTCTATTTATTACTTACCCTTCATTTATTACAATTAAGGAGTTTCCACACATGAAAAGGTTAAAGTAGTAGAACTCTACTCCCAAGCCCAGCATCACTGGATTCCAGTAGCCACCAACTCCCTGCAATTTCCTAATACAGTCCCATTTGATCCAATTAAAATTATGTGCCACCAAAATCTCAAAATCCCAGTTCTCCAAGCAGTTTGTGGGATGGCTTTCTCTCCAATGCATTTTATTTTTGATAAGAAATCTCACTTGCCCTAAACTTAAACATGCTCCAACTTCCATTTCAGTTGAAAGAAGTTCTATTGAAATTGTGATGAGATCCAGAAGCATATCAGTGAGAATTATCTCCTTGAGTCACTGGCACCAGGATTTTGGATCTTGTACTCACATGGCACACTGTGATAACCTACTTTAGCTTTTTGCTTAATCTATCTCACAAAGAGAAAGGAAACAAGCTGCAGTTTCATCTCTAACCTCCTTATCATGGGCTGGAATGTGGTACAGCATAAACCAGGAATTACAGAGGGTCACACTCATAGTGCCACACAACTGTCCCTGCAACCCAAGGGACAGGGCATGGCAGCTTTGACCCTTCCACAAAGCCAACTTTGGGCCACATAACTTCTAAGGTGACCACAAAACAAATGAACACACACAGCTGTGCATTGTTCAGTTTTCTGGTAGCCAAGATTTAGTCTGAATCAAAGGGAGCTCTCCTGACACAAAGGGAATCCTGGTGTGCACCCTACCTCCACCTGTCAGGTGGACACAGCACCTTAGCCTGATGTGTTAAAGACCATTTTCTTCCATCTTGAGAAGCCACATACTTAAAGGTGGTAAAGGAAGTGAGATGAAGTCCCAAAACAGCATTTACCAGGATTACTCAAAAGTGTTGCCAGGAGGCATTTGCACCATTTACAGCACTAATGAATCTCTTCCTCCTGTGACAGTTAATCACTGTTTTAGATCCCTGCAAGCACTGCAGTGCACAGCTCCTGAGGGAAAGCTTTGCAGGACAGCACCCCAAACAACCCACACCTGCTGAAGGGGTGCAGCTGGGACCCAGGGAGCTCCACCTTCAGCCCTCCCACAGACAGAAAAACAGAAATGAAGGAGCAAAGAGGCACAGCCATGAGTAAAAAGGGCACCTTAAAGGAAATCACATGCCAGAGATGCAACCAGTGCTGAGCCACTGAGTCTCACCATTGCTTGAGTTTTGAAAGGACCTCTCACTCTCAGGTCTCCTCTGTGTTTCTTCATTCTCAGGGGTCTTGGAGGCTGCAGTGGAGCCAGCCTGGCGCTTCCTTACACAATCATCACCTGCCATGGTTACCTAGCTAGATCAGAAAAAGAGAGAAATAATGAATGACAAAAATCTCATTTATTGTTCAATAATATATTTACATAAAGTTGGACTTTCTTCCTTTCATTGTGAATTCAGAGTGAGGATAGAGGAAATTCAGCACATGCTTGAATTAGTCACTTACTGTTGATGACACTTCCTTTCCCTTACCACAAGCAGTACAGGAACAAAGTAACCAAGTGAGTTCCCCTACCAAACTTGTTCCTAGGACCATCTCAAAAGATCTCCTCACACCACCCTCTTTTCCCTACAGGTTTTATAACTACTTAAAATAACTTAAGCTTTTGCAAAATCTTTAAAACGACAAAAAGCCCTTGCAATTCTTTCTGACAGCCAGGTGGACACCAAGACTAGTCTTCCATGAGCTGTGGCAGGTTTACGTTGTGGAATCACCAGCAATATTTGACCTGAGCCAAGCCCCTTTCTTGTCAAGTTCTCAGCTGCTGCTGGAGCAGCTTCCTCAATGGATCCTTCTGTTCTGCTTGACCAGACAATGGTTGTGTTGCAAACCAAGGAGAAACAGGAAGAGAATCAGGTTTGAACTACACCAGTTCGAATGACAAAGGTCACTGCTGGGGACAGAGCTGCCAGCAGGGAGCACCTGAAGCACCACATGCAGGATGAAAACAGAATTTTCAGCTAATGAGAAATGGACAAAAAGACTCTAAATTGGTCACAAAGTGCTATCCCAGAACACTCTCCATAAAATTCATCTCAAGAACCTCTTGGCAATGTAGCTACAACTAGGGACAATTTGCAGATTTTTTCCAGAAAACCTCACAGGCATGTATGTAACCACATTTTCAAGCTTGATATATTTTTTCATCTTGGCACAAAGTGTGCAGCAGATGTGTTTAGCTGCTAGCGAACAGCATACGTGCACCAGCACATATGAGCTGTTACAGACAGGCCAGGAAAACTCAGGAACTGGTGAAAAAACAAATTAAGGATGGATTACCTCAGAATAAGGAGGCTGGCACGTCTGCAAAAGGGAAATAAAACTATGACCAGAGCTTTACAGAACTCAACTTCCTGTGTTTGTCCCTCCAATAGGAAGAGTCTCCTGTTCTCCTTTCAGGCTACACAGCATAAAGGGGAGAAACATCAGCCACTACCAAACAACAAATCAATAATTGGGTGAGTTTTCCAGCTCAAACAAAGGACCAGAAGTTTAATTTTTGTCTCAGGACACTTTTCAGCTCCTTCTTCAAGAGCTTAGGAAGGTATTTCTTCCTCACGGGCGCAGAGTAGTTCCAGTATCTAACTGAAAGCTTAACAGAAAGGAGTTAAAAATAACCAATCTCGGGATGGGGGGAAGGAAAAGTCATGTGCGGCATGAACTTTAAAACAATTAAAGAGTTAATAATTCAGATAGGCTAAGTATCACAGCACAGCCTTTTCCACACCGCAACTCGAAATCTGCTAGGGGAAATTAGGAAAACAAACATTTTCCTAGTCTAGTTCCCATATGAACAGAGGTGCAGCATTACAGTACCTAAGCAATTATCAGCACATCAGGACATCAGCTCTTCCCGCCTATCTCTACTAGAACCGAAACATTAAAGACACAATGCCAGGATAACTCCAAGATGTTCACCGCCCCCCTCACAAGAGGAAATCGCTCCTCACAACAGTAAACACTCCTTTCACCCCGCTCTGAGGCCATCCACAACTGCAGATGAAGTTCGTAGAGCTACAAACCCATTAACAGATTTCCGAGCAGAAATTCCCTGATTTCACTGGCATCTGATTTACGGTGCGCGCAAAGGGCTCAGAGACCTTGAGCTTCTCCGCCTTCCCTTTGGACAAACTGATAATTAATCAGAAGATGCCTTGGGAGAAAAGCAACACTTTACAGTTCATCTTTGCATTTCAAAAGGCTCGGTGAGGAACAGCTAAGAATCACGGAATGGTTTAGGCTGGAAGGGACCTTCAAGATCACCTAATTCTAAACCCCTGCATCCAATACCAATCACACTAGACAACAACCTTATCCCAAAGAGTTTCATCTCTAAAGTTTCCCTTCGAAAACTCTTGGCCCTCGGGCATAGCCGCATCCCGCAGACCCGAACCCTCGGTCCCTGCAGAGCGAACAGGACAGCGACCAAAAAAAGTTAAGGTCACTCCACAAACCAAAGTTAAGGTCACCCCACAGCTCATCCGCAAGGCGCACGACAGCCGGCAGGAAAAGGGTTTGAGGACACCGCTGGGAGCTGCCCAAAGCGCTGCCGAGGCTCCGAGCCAGCCCCTGCCCCGCTACCTCCCCGCACCTCCGCCGAGCCCCAGCCCTAAACGGTTGCGGGAGCTGCTTTCCCCGGGGGCGGGGCGGCGCGAACACGTTCCCGTGGCCGGTGCCGCGGTCGGAGCGGCCGCCAGTCCGCGGAGCGTCACCTCAGGGGCGGCCGAGCCGCTGCCGCCGCCTCCTCCTCCGCCGCTCCGCTCGTCCCCGCGCCCGCCGCCGCCGCCTCTTCCCGGGGCTCGCGCACGTCACGGCGCAGGGGGCGGGGCGAGCGGTGGCACCGCCCATTGGCCGAGGAGGCGGCTCCGCGAGGGCGGGGCGGGAGGCGCGCGCCGGGTGGGGGGATTGGGGGGGCGGCACGTGAGGCGCACATGGGGCGCCCCCCCCCCCCCCCCCCCCTTCCCCTCAGCTCCCGCCTCCCCCTCCTCCCCCAACCCCCCCCAACCCCCTCAGGTATCGCCGCCTGCTCCGGCGCTCCTGAGGCGGGAAGAGGGTGAGGGAACACCAAGGTTGGTAAATGCTCGCGATACAAAGGGGCCGCGAGTAATCAAAGTTGTATCACTAACCTACACACTTGGCGTGGAAATTGGTTCGCTGGTACCTGACCGGCTATAGGAACAGGGGGCTCTGGATAAAGTAGTTGGGAGTGGGTTTTAGATAGAGGGGTAGGGGAAAAGGAAAGAGAGAGAGAAGGAGATTAATTAAAGAGAGAGAGAGAAAAAGAAAAAGAGATCACTAGTTCTGGTTGTGGCCTCAGTCCAGCTGAGGGAATGTCAGTCCTGGCTCCAGGGTGTCGATCCCAGCTGTGACCACCCAGCCCAAGGTCCAGGTAGCAAAGGCCTGTCCTCGCCCTGAGGGGCCCCCCTCCACTCCCCACACCCCAAGCACAAGGAAACTTATTTAAAGGAACCAGGAGGACCCTGAAGTCAAGGCTGGGAGGTCCCAGTGGCGTTATCTGTCCTTGTCCTTCAGCGGGAACACACAGGTTGTTCAACAAGTGCTTCCCTCACGCTCAGCACCCAGGCTCAGCACAAATGTGTGTCCTACCCCCTGAGGTTCTTCCAAATAGTAGCCAGGGTAGGTATTTTTACAGGGGAGTAAAAATGGAGTGCCCCCCAATTTGAGTCATCCCCCAAGAAATGGTGTTTTGTGTCAAGGGGGTGTCCTCCCTCACAAACGTTGCCCTGAGGAGTGGAAGCTCAGCTCTACAGCTGGGGGGGAGCTGAGAGCGGGTTTGAGTGGAGACCTCTCCCTTTTAGTCCCAGCTGTGCTCCACAGGGACAAAAACTGGGACAAAGGCTGCTCCAGAGGGCCGAAAATGGGACAAAGGCTGAGGTTTGTACCTTGCTTTCTCTCTCTCCCCAGACAGACACAGGCTCGTGATGGAGGGTGAGTCACGGAACACGTCACCAGCTAACAAACTCTAGTAACCTCCTGTGAGCTGCATTTCACACTGCAAATGGGAAAGTTTTCCCAAAGTGAGGGGAACTTATCCACTAATCTCTTACTGGCAAGTACACTCTCTCCTCTTCCTCCTCACGACATCAGGGCTGTGCTATGCACAATATGCCCCCAGGTGCACCTTGAAAGGTCACCTCAAAACAAGGTACAAAGTTACAATGGGGTAATAAAACATTTCTGTCACTTTTGACTTGTGTCAGACCTGTTACTAAAATTTATTTTGATTAACACACACCTCAGACACACATTTAAATTGTAGCTGCTGAAACTTTCAGAATTTGTTTTAAATATCTGTGGGGACTCTTGAGCAGAGCCACTGAGTGAAAAAGTCTGAAACTGATTTATTTTGCAATGTGTGTTCACACTATTATCCCATCACTCAGCTTTCATGCTGCTTAATAAGAAAACTTGTAAAAATGAAAAGAAAAAATGAAAAGCCTTATCACTGCTGAAATGCAATGGGTGAGAGCAGCAGGAATTTTCACATAAACCCATCCTTGTTCTTAAGAAGTCAACTTTAACACAGTGCTGCTTAGAGATACTTTCAGGTCAGACTGTATGTGATCTGTGGTGCCCTCACTCCAAATGTGCTGTGCCAGCTATTTACAATGAACTTGTGGGGCCAGCATTGGCTGGGCAAGCAAGTGTAAACAAAATAAAAATCAAAACCCAACAGAATACTCAATGTACAAAAATATCCTAAGGTTCAACAACTTCTTGTTGAAACTGTTTCATCCAATTAGTAAAAGCCTGACTCTGGGTGGTAGAAAAATGGGGTTACTTTAATAGAAAGAAAAGTGCAGCTACCCTTCAGAAAAAATTTGCTTTGGTTATTTTGCCCCAAAGAGGCTGTACAGAGGCGCCACCAGATTTTATTGGCAGCTCTTGACAAATCTGTCAGGCCTGTGACAAGCACTGAGCTCCCTCCCTGCTCTCTGGGATTTTCCCTGGAAGAGCTTTTTCACAGCCTTCCTTCCCTTCTCTTAAGAGGCTGTTTGCCTGCAGCTCCCCGAAAAACATAGTGGCTGCTCTCCTTACCTTCCTTCCCACTATTTACAAGCAGCTGGGAGCAGACTCTGCCTCCTCTGCTTCCTGCCACTCACGCCCATCATCTGCTATTGTCTTTGCCACTCTAAATTGCTGCATTGTTTCATCAGCGGCATCATTTACCCCGCTTGTCACCACGGTGCTTGTAATCCTGATTTTCTGGAGTGTTGTACATTAATCCTCATTGCATTGCTCAATGATTGCCCAAGCACAGCTGTTCTGAGCACTCCTGCCTGAATCACCGCGTGGTCGTTCCCATTGTTGACACGGGAACCTTGGCTCTGATATCCCAATTTCCTCCCTCAGCTCCACTGGCTTTCACCTTCCCAGCTCCAGGCAGCAGCTTGACTTTAGCAGCACTGCTTGTTTCCTTATTTTCCTTTCCTTTTTCCTTTTCCTTTCCACAATGCTCTCAGGCACAAG